TGTTAGTTCACTCCACATAATAAACACCAAAAATCTCATTCCTTTCAATCATAATTTGGGAATTTCTTGAATTGAGTTTGTTCTTTGATTGTTTTCTTGAATTGAGTCGTTCTTGTTTTTTGGGTTTTAATAATCATGATGATGGGTCAAGATGAGGTTGGGAGTGATCAGTCGACGCAAATCATAAAGGGGAAGCGTACGAAGCGACAGAGATCTTCGTCGTCGACGTTTGTTGTGGCGGCGACGACCACCGTGACCTCCACAAGTTCATCAGCCGGCGGTGGAGGAAGAGCGGTTTCCGACGAATACAACTCGGCGGTTTCGTCTCCGGTAAGTACTGATTGTACTGAGGAAGAGGAAGACATGGCGATTTGTCTTATTATGTTGGCTCGTGGGGTTGTTCCGTCGCCCGATCTCAAGAATTCGACAAAAACTGATAAGATTCTTCATCAGAAGATTTCGTCGAGTTTCTATGTGTACGAGTGTAAAACATGTAACCGGACTTTCCCTTCGTTCCAAGCACTTGGTGGACACAGGGCCAGCCACAAGAAACCGAGACCCTCCGGAGATGAAAAGACGAAGTTACCCCTGATGCAGCCCAAGTCTACTGGGTCAGATGAAGGACAAACAAGTCTTTTCAAAGTTTCCGGCTCTGCCCTTGCTTTCCAGGCAAGTAACATGATCAGCAAGGCAAACAAAGTACACGAGTGTTCGATTTGCGGTTCTGAGTTCACTTCGGGGCAAGCCCTCGGTGGCCACATGAGGCGGCACAGGACAGCCGCCACCGCAGTTAGCCCGGCCGCGGCTGTCGAAGTTAGTAGAAACAGCACAGAGGATGAGATTGTTGAGAATTTGGGTCGTTCGATGGAGCAGAGGAAATATCTACCGTTGGATCTTAATCTACCGGCACCAGAAGATGATCTAAGAGAGTCGTCAAAGTTTCAAGGGATAGTGTTCTCAGCCACACCAGCCTTAATAGATTGCCATTACTAGTGGATTAATTAATTGGATGTTCCTTTTTTTTACATAATATGATGATATTTGTGAATTTCTCTCTTACGGTATTGTTGATTGGAATTATTTTTTTTAAAAGAAAATTGAATCAAATATTAATTGGTTTTTAAAAAGGGGAAAATGAAATGTACAAGTTATAATGAAAGAAGAAGAATATAGTGGGAGTTAAGTAAAGGGTTGTGTGATAGTTAGATGATCTACTTGTTGAAGTAAGAATAGTTTGAGTAAGCAAGTGGTTAGTGTTCATGGTTGCCTTTCATTCACGAAAAGCAAGTGACTTCCAAGGCATCTTTTCTTTCCCTCTTTTTAAGGTATATTTTTTATTTTACAAAATATTACAATTTTGTAATTTGAAGTTTTTTTTCCTCCTTTTTAATTAACACGTGAACCAACCATTGATATTGCTTGTAGACGTCTCTTCTCACACGATTACTTTTGCAGCCAAACGATATATATTAGTGTTCTACTACTTCAAAGCAAATATGTCGTAACTTGAATGTATAAAGAAAATAAATCCTAGAAATTGAATATCGCAAATAGAAATGATTAGTTTTGAAATTCATTATCTGATAAATTAATTTTGAGATGGAAACTTATAATCTCACGATAAACTATCTACAAATTAGTTTCAAATAAAAAAATTATCAACAAATTTAGAGATGAAAATTTTTGAATGCACTACATTTTCTTGCTGGCTATATTTTTTTATTTATTTTTCATGAGATAACTATGGGGGTGATACATGTTTTTACCACCCGACTAATCATTTATGATGAGTGTAGCCGTCGAATATCTTATTTACCGGTTTTCTAATGGATTTCGACACACTAAATAGAAGTGAAAG